TCTCAGTGCAACTCTGTAGACGCCCGTCTGGATGATGTGTTTTTTATTGAACGCAACAATTCTAGCCAATCATAAGTGCATATAGAGTTTTATAAAACGCATGTAGCCACTGCTTTACACCAGAAATTGGTCGTGTTGGCTGAATACTGAACATGAGCAGCGCACCAGCTGTATGTGGAAAATAGTGCAATAGAGGACATTAGTAGTCAAGGACAATATGCTGTATGATCCACATACGGCCTTAGAGAATTATGTTAATATGGATGTTTTCGTCTATTCTAGTCCCATCATTACTCTTGATTCCTGTTTTATTAGATATAAAGTACACAGATTGAGATGGATTTACAGGTATTATTGTTCTGGGGCTCATTGGGAAGAAATATAGCGGGAACATATCTTCTCTCTTAAACATCTCTCAGGAAATACTTAGCAAACAAGACCTCTTGAACTTTGACCCTTTAAATCAAAATCAAATCAAAAATCAAATTGAATTTTATTTGTATAGCACATTTCAGCAGCAAGGCATTTCAAAGTGCTTTACATCATAAACACAAAAACACAGTCATGCAAGATAGAATCAACAAACATAATATTAAGTCAAGTGCCATCATTAAATTCGTAATTGATTACGTTTCAAATACAACTCTAAACAGGTGGGTTTTTAGTTGAGATTTAAAGGCACCCAGTGTTTCAGCTGTTTTACAGTTTTCTGGAAGTTTTGTCCAAATTTGTGGTGCATAGAAGCTGAATGCTGTTTCTCCTCGTTTGGTCCTGGTTCTGGGGATGCAGAGCAGACAAGAACCAGAACCTGAGGGGTCTGGAATGTTGGTACAACAACAACAACAACAACAACAGGTCTTTAATGTATTGTGGTGCTAAACCGTTCAGTGATTTATAAACTAACAACAGTATTTTAAAGTCTATTCTCTGAGCTACAGGGAGCCATTGCAGGGACTTTAGAACTGATGTCATGTGCTCTAGGTTCCTGGTTTTAGCGAGAACGCGAGCAGCAGCGTTCTGGATCAGCTGCAGCTGTTTGATTGTATTAGACAGACTTTTGAAGACGCTGTTGCATTAATCAATGCGACTGAAGATAAACGTATGGATGAGTTACTCTAGATTGCGCTGAGACATTAGTCCTCTAATCCCTTGAGATGTTCTTCAGGTGATAGAAGGCCAACTTTGTGACTGTTTTTATGTGGCTCTGAAGGTTCAGGTCAGAGTCCATCACTACTCCCAGGTTTCGGGCCTGATCGCTGGATTTTAGTTGTAATAACTGAAGCTGCGCGTTGACACTAGATTGCTCCTCTTTAGGGCCAAAAATAACTTCAGTTTGGTTTCTGTTCAGCTGGAGAAAGTTTTGGCACATCCACTTTAGACATATCAGAGCTGTTGAGCTAGAATGCTCAACAATATCTTCTTTTCCTGGATCTCTATCATGCAGAGGGTTTGTCAAGAACCTTGTTTGGACTTTCTAAAACATACTTGAAGGTCATGGCTGCCTCAAACGGAAACATATACTGTTTCTGATCCTTTTGTTTTACAGGTGATATTTAAATGAGGGATACTGGATAAAGAAGAAAGGGATTTCTCTCACTGTTGGATTGACTGTTGATTTTGTCAACAGTTAACAGGACTATAGCTTAACAAAACCTTCTCTGTGGGAAGGAACCATGGGGAACAAATCAATGCAGCAAAACAAAGAGAATCTGAATTTTCCTTTCAAACTAGCAGGAGGTTTTCTTTTGTTCATACCAGGTATTCACTGATGTTATCTGCGATCTCTGCAGGTCAGTTAAACAATCATGATTTTCATAACAGATTTCCAGGAGGATTATTGAAGTATTCCTATGGTGGAACCCCCAAACTTGGGCACCTTAGGGGAAAAAAAAAGAGTTGAATCCTTTCTAGGAGTATTTGACATCTTCATATTCTGGTCTAAAAACACTGTTATTTTAGTTCTGATTTGTTTGTTTGGTAGACTTTTTTCATGGGCAATGACCATATTTCTGACTCCATCTCTGCCTGACTTTCTAAATACACAGCCAGACAGATTTTTTCAAGAGGAACAGCAAGAGCAAACGAGGTGGATTAGCAGTGCTTACCAACAACTGAAGGTCTCACCAGGACTTATTACTGTGAAACATTGTCGCTACTACCCAGATATTGAGCAGTTAGCATTTTATGACAGTCATAAACTTATCTTACTGCAACAATCTCCAGTCAAAGGTTTCTTAAGAATTATTTCAAGACTGACATCTACTGAAAATCAATATGTAAGAAAATGTTTCACCTCCCTGATCCTTTAAAGATGGAAATGTTTAGATAATTTCCCAATCTGACTCTTGGAGGTCAGTACACAAAAATCCCTCCTATAGAAACAAAATGATGCACTGCTAACACCTCTGTTGAGTAAGGCCACCGAGACCCAACTGTGATTAGTCAGGGTAATTCCTGTCATTGATCACTGTACATTTGAGTGTTTTAAACAGAAACTCTCCTGGTGTTTGTGCAGAATATGCAAAACTGTGTATAAATCAAGATGAAGATTGACTTCTTGATTTTCTGATGCAGAACATCTTTCATTTTAGGGTTCAACTGCGGACAGTCAGGTGTAGAAAAAGAAAATCTTTCACATTGGCGGAATAAAATATTTATGACAAACAAAACAATCTAAAGGTTTGAGTTGAGTAGTGCTGCATTTACCCCACGGGGAACAAGAGAAAAACAAAACAGGAGTCCAGGTGCGTTCCAGCTGTCGCTGGAGGGGAAATTAAAGATGACAGAGGACAGGAGCGCAGCTGCAGGATGACTGAGACTCAGACAGAAAACACACTGCAACACAAACACTCGTTTGTTAAAATCATATTTATTCATCATGATGTACAAAATAATCAATGTTTTAATTTTCGATGTGAAAAATAACTAGAATTTTGCTCCCCTCTCTTGGTCTGGTTTGGACCTCATGACTTGCTGTAATGCACAGTCCCATAAGGAGTGGAAAGAAGATCTGGGCTCATCAAAGCCACTCTGACTGAAGGATGGAAGGAAGCACGATAAAACTGACTGTGTGCCTGGGGAGGCTTGGAAGAGAGGAGCAGCTTTGCCACACAGTCTTCCAGATAAGGTTTCCAAAAAGCCCAATTGAGACACCAAGAGTGCAGATTACTGTTGCAATGTGAATTTTAATTTCCAGAGGCTTCTGGGAAACCTTCCTCTACAAACAAAGACCTTACCACGCTACTTCTTCTTGTATACATAAATCTTTTTACTCTTTTCAGATTTCTTTACAAAAATAAGGTTATCTTGCTTTCATGTCATCAATTAAAACAGGTCTAGAACATGAGATGAACTACTGTTATTGCACAAATCAATTACCCACAAGCAGATCCACCAACAAAAAGAAAATGTACAACTTGTACTGTGATTAATGCAGGCTGATAAAGAGCCAGCGACCTCTCTCCGCAGCAGATGAGATGAGACGTCTGCGGCGAGGTGAAGGACCCGGCAGAACAATGAGAATCGATGAAAAGGCGCAAACAAATGAACAGAACCAAATGAGACGAGTGCTTTCAGCCCCCCCTGGGGTGAACAGACACCAAGGTTGCCATGGTAGCAACTGCACACTACCGTGAAACACCATCAAGCCACTTACATATTTCGGGACGAGTGCCTGGTCTACATGTCTATGAGGAGCGAAGCAGTTCTGCACCGCTTTTATTCCCACTGATAAAAGAGAAGGAGGCACTTGTGGAATGAGCAAGTTCATTCCTTTAACTTCATTATTCTGGTTCTTCAGTTTGCCATCAGACACGCGCCGCAAGCTATCACCCTGTTAGCGTATTCGCATTTCTCAAATAAATCTCGAGTGTAGAAATGTTTCAGATAGCATGTTAAATATACAAAAATTACTTTTAAATCATTCAAAAAAAAAAAAAAGCAACAAAAAGATAAATACAAAACATGAAAAATCTCCCCAGAAACAAAAAGAGACGAGTCAACCAGGAAGATTGGTTAAAACACAAGATCATGATTTCAGATTACAGGAATGATATTAAATATATTAATCTGTAAGTTTCTGAGCCCACAAAGACTCCAATACCCGGTTATAAATCAGGAAAC